GAGATAAGCCCTTTGTCATAAGATATTTCTCTTTTTGTCTCCAAGCCAGTGGCTTGTCTTTTTATTTTTTTTTTTATTTTTTATTTTTTTATTTTTATTTTTTTTTAAGATTTTATTTATTTTTTTGACAGAGAGAGAGATAGCGAGAGCAGGAACACAAGCAGGGGGAGTGGGAGAGGGAGAAGCAGGCTTCCCGCAGAGCAGGGAGCCCGATGTGGGACTCCAACCCAGGACCCCGGGATCATGACCTGAGCCGAAGGCAGACGCTTAATGACTGAGCCACCCAGGCGCCCTGGCTTGTCTTTTTATTTTCATAATAGTATCTTTTAAAGAGCAAAAGTTTACATTTTTATAAAGTCCAATTTATTAATTTTTCCTTTTATGATTAATGTTTTTTTATCCTGCCCAAACTTTGCTTAGCCCAAGGTCACAAAGATTTTCTCCTGTGTTTTAATTAGATTTTTTTTTTTTCAATTTGGGCTTTTACTTTTTGATCTATAACTCATGTCAAGTTCATTTCTCTGTATGGTCAAAACAAGGTGAGTGTCTTGGGGCTTCCCTAAGAAAGTCCCACATACTGAGGGGTTTAAAACAAGAGATATTTATCCGCGCCCCCCTTGCTCCGGAGGCCGGAAGGCAGGAATCCAGGTGTCGGCAGGGCAGCGCTCCCTCCGAAGGCTCTAGGGGCCGCTCCTTCCTTGCCCCTTCCAGCTGCTGGTGCGGCCGGCGGCCTTGGCCTTCCTTGGCTGGTAGCTGCACCACCCCTGTCTCTGTCGTCCCGTGGCCTTCTCCCTGCCTATGTCTGTCTGTCTGCTCTCTTCTTAGGACACCAGTCATCTTGGATTAGGGCCCATTCTCCTCCAGTACAACCTCATCTTAACTTGATTCCATCTGTAAAAACCCTGTCTCCAAACCAGGTCACACTCAAGGGTACTGGGGGAGTACTGCAACATTTCTTTCTAGGGACACAATTAAACCCATGACATCAGGGCTTAAGTTTACTTTTTCCATACAGATACCTGACTGCTCCAGCATCATTTCTTAACCATAAATGTAAGGACTTACTTCTGGACTCCTAATTCTGTGCCATCCTCCTAGGCTCCTACCCTAGTGTGATTACTGTGGCTTCATAGTAAGTTTTGAAATGAGGTAATGTGAGCCCTCCAACTCTGCTCTTCTTTTTCAAAATTGTTTTTGGATTTCTCAGTCCTTCACATGTCTATATACTTTGAGGGTGAGCTTGTCAATTTTTACAAAAAAGTGTGCTGGGGTTTTGGACAGGGATTGAATTGAATTCACAGATCACCAGGGAAAGTCATCATCATGGGGCACAATTCTAAGAAGGCCCCAAGCTTCCCACCTCCTAGCATAGAAGCCTGTATAACCCCCTCCTCTGGAGGCAGAGCAGAACCTCTGCACATGGTGGGACATTGTTCCCGTGGCTAGATTACTAATCAGCTGACTTTGAGTTCATCAAAAGGGAGAGTGTCTGGGTGGGCCTGGCCTAATCAGGTGAGCCCTTACCTAAGAAGGGACCCTTCCTGAAAGTAGAGATTCAAAGCATGAACAGGGCTATGGAGGGCACCAGGTGGCAAGGAATCTCAAGTGGTCTCTGGGAGCTGAGAGCATTCCCTGGCCGACAGCCAATGAGAAAACAGGGACCTCAGTCCTACAATCACAGGAAACTGACCTCTACAAGAACAACGTGAGCTGGGGAGAGGACCCCAAGTCTCCAATGAGAAGGTAGCCTAGCCAACCTTCATGGCAACCTCGTGAGATCCTGAGCAAAGGATGCAGTGATGTCACGCCTGGACTTGTGAGCTGCAGAAAGTCTCAGGTAAGCACCCAGTGTTGTTTTAAGCCCCTGAGTTCTCACTGATGTTACAAGGCAGCAGAAACGTAATACACATGCCCCGACTACTGAGTCTGCCAGTCTGTGAGCATGAAATGTCTTTCCATCTACATAGATCTTTAAGTGTTCAATTCCATTTATGTGAAATTTCCAGAAGAGGCAACTCCACATAAACAGAGAGTGGATGAGTGGTTGTCAGGAGCTGGGGAGGGGATGAGGAGAGACTGTTGAATGGGCACAGGGTCTCCCTTTGAGGTGATGGGAAGGTTCTGGGACCAGATAGGGGTGACAGTTGCACAACACTGTGAACATAGTAAATGCCACTTTGAAATGTACATTTTTAAATGGTTAGTGGTTATTTTTGTCATGTGAATTTTTTCTCAGTTGAAAAAATTTTTTTTAAATTAAATAAGGGGTGCCAGGGTGGCTCAGTCGGTTAAGCATCTGACTTTTGATTTCGGCTCTGGTAATGATCTCAGGGTCCTGGGATCAATCCCCGAGTTGGGCTCTGCGCTCAGCAGGGAGTCTGCTTGAGGATTCTCCCTCTCCCTCTCCCCTTCCCCACCTCTTGCATGCTCGCTCTCTCTCTCTGGAATATCTTTAAAAATGAAATAAAACCCCATACTGAGAGAACACATGTTCTATCTCAGGTTGCATATGTCCCCTGGTGGGGAGTGACGGTACCCTGGGGGCAGGACACTCTCATCTGCTGGGGGGGGTGCTGCAAAATGGGAGAGGCCCTCTGGAGAGGAATTTGCCAATGTCTGGAAAATTAATCATGCTGCTTTAAAAGAAAAGAATGAGGAGGCTCTGCATGCACAGATATGGAGAGACGCATAGGATACTCAGATGTGTTGGCAAGTGACCAAAGCAAGCGCTTCTCTGCTGGGGGCATTGTGGGAACTGGGCAGGGAGGGCTGGGCAGGAGGCAGGGCATCTCCATGTCCACCCTTCTTCTTCTTCTTCTTCTTCTTTTTTAAGATTTTATTTATTTGTCAGAGAGAGAGAGAAAGCACGAGCAGGGGGAGCGGCAGGCAGAGGGAGAAGCAGGCTTCCTGCTGAGCAAGGAGTCCGATGCGGGACTCGATCCCAGGCCCCCGGGATCATAACCTGAGCTGAAGGCAGACGCTTAACCAACTGAGCCACCCAGGCGTCCCTCCATGTCCACCCTTCTTTGCTGATGTGTGAACCAGGTGAAAACCCGGCCTCTGCAGAACTTCAAGGTAAGCAAGAAAAGATCAGCATCCACCCGTCTGGCTCATATCCCGGACTCTACCTCTCTGACCTGTCCTCCCTTCCTCTCCTTCCCCTCCCACCTTCCGTCCATTCCAGCCCTGTTCACCTCCAACCTGCCTGCCAGTATCTTCATGCTCACTGTCCCCTCCACCTGGAACACCCCGTTCTCCATTTTGGAATGGCTGACTTCTTGTCATCCTTGTCAGCTACCAGGTCATGACCTCAGAAAGTCCTCTTTATCTTGCTTGTTCATTTTTTTGTTTCCATTTGTTGTTTATATCCACCCACATGCACACTCACCCCCCTCCACCCCCACCACAGACCAGGAATGAGGCCTGGGCAAGCAAGGGAGGGCCGGCCTTTCTCTCTCGATCGTGTCCTCAGGACCTAGCCCAACCCTGGCACACGCTGGTCCCTGGAAATATCAGTGGCCGTTCACTGAGCTTGGTGACTTCATGTAGTTTCCGAGTCTAACAGCTTCCCAACTTCTGTCTGCAGCCCACCTTCTCCGAGCTCCAGGTTCATATGGGTCCAAGGTCCCAAGAGGGTTCCCGGAGCTAGACAGCCCCCTCCTCACGGGATCTCTGGCCTGTGCCAGCCAAGAGTGAGGCCAGCTGCCCAGCACCAGCAGCCAGGAAGAACACCTGCCGCCCCTACTTAGGCTGAGGGGCTCCTCTCTCGGACCCCACCCCCACCATGGCTACGTCCCTTCCCTGCCTGTAAGGAAGTGGGTCTCCTTCCCTTACAGTGCCCCCCTGCCCCCTGGATCCTGACCCCCAAAAGACTCCCTCCCTGCCCCCCCACAACCTCCCATAGATTTAGTGGTGCTTCCGAACCAGGTCCTTCCCTGCCAGGACCCAAGATTGGGCCTTAAGGCGCCTGCTTTCCAGAAACTGTGGGGCCCCGAAGGCAGTTTCCTTGGAAACCGTTTGAATTGGGTAAGCTGTCTGAGGGGCTCCCTTTCCTCGAGAAGCCTACTCTTCTGGTGGCTTTTCAAAGAGGGCAGGATGGGTTGGTGCAGAAGGCCAGAGGATCCCCTCTCCAGGGTTCCCAGTGCCAAACAAAAGGCCCCATTGAGGTCCCCAGACTTGTCCCCCCACATCCAGGACCTAGGGTCAGGCTTGGCCACCCACTCCCTGCTGTGCCCCCAAGGTGCTCTACTTAGGCTACCTCCCTCCCTCCTCCAAATGGCCCCAGATGGCTCTGCCCCAGACACCGGGCCGGGAAGGCCAAGTGAGAGCTCCTAGCTGCCAGCCAGCATCCCCCATGCTGCGTCTGAATGGGACAGCCGGGGGAGGAGGGCACAGGAGCTTCTGCACCCAGCGGAGTCCCCCACTGTCAGATCTGTGTATTTGCCAAGGAGGTGGGACCAGACGCAGAGCTGGGATGCTCTCTGCCAGCCAGGGGTTGCCCCTGTTCCCTCTGCTCTGCCTCAGGCCAGGCGAAGAATGGAAGCAGGGAGCGGTCAGGTTGTCTTCCTCAGCATTCTAGAACAGGACCTGCCTGCCTCAGCTTACCCAAAGGGAACTGGGGGATGTGGCTACTGATGCAAGAGGGCAAGGAGCAGGAGCACCCACCCCCAAGCCAGATTTCCCCCCTTGGGACTGGGAGGAGATGCTGGGAAGGGTGCAGCACCAGGAGGGCAAAGGTGGGTTTCCATAGCTGTGGTAGGGATGTAGGGTATCTGGGAGCCATAGGACAGCCATGTCCCCTATGGACTGGGCAGCTAGGAGCTGGAAGAGGAGCCCAAAGGCCTGGGGGAGGGGGAGCACCCCTGCCACTCACCATAAAGAACCACAATGCCACGTAGGTGCCCTGGGGAGTGTAGGTTGGCTGCAGAGACCGACGTTACTCTTCCACCCTCCCACCCCCACCAAACACACACTTTTTCACCAGATACAAAGACCAGAAATACTATATGATTTCATTTATGTGAAACATCCAGAACAGGCAAATCCATAGAGACAGAAAGTAGGTGGGGGTACCAGGGGCTGGAGGAGACACTGCTAATGGGCACGGGGTCTCCTTGTGGGGCAACAGAAATGTTCTGGAAGTAGACAGACATGATGGTTGTACAACACTGTAATGTACTAAATACCCCTGAACTGTACACTTTCAAATGATCGAAATGGTGAATTTTATCTCAATTAAGCAAATGTTTAAAACAAAGCACAATGCAGGTGCTCCCACTCTGATGTGGGCATTTATTTATCATAAAAGAAAGCAGTGGTAAGTGACACCACCAGGGGTAGGGGGTGGCCAGCCCCCTCCTCCCTCACCCCTGTCAAGTCGGAGCTGAGGGAAGTGGGGACAGGGCGGGGGGCGGTTGCGGCGCCTGGAGTCCTGGAGACCCCGGGAGGGGGCAGAGGACAGAGGGAGCCGGAGGAGCCTCCGCGTTCACCGGATCTGGTGTGAGAACAAGAGGACAGAGAAGGCAAGTGGAGCCGAGCGGGGGGCGGGGGGGCAGGCTGGCTCCCCTCCCCCCAGCTCAAGCTACCCAGCGCAGTGCCAGGGTCCCCGGGGGGGGGGGGGGGGCGGAGGGAGGCTGCTCACCGTGTACTTGTCCCACTTCTTCTCAGGGTCGTAGGGCTCCCAGCGACTGGCGGGAAAGATGTGCTTGTTCTTCTCGTACCAGCTCCGCAGCACCACCTTGCCTGCGTGGGACTGCGGGAGGGACACGGCCAAGCCCTGCAGCTCACGGCCACCGGCCACGGGGCGGGGGGGGGGGGGCTCTGGGTTCTCCTTCCCTCCGCGCTTCCTCCCCCCGCAGCCCCGCACCTCATCCTTCTCCACAGTGGCATCACTGAGTAGCCGCACATCATCGTGAACGTCAAAATTGAAGAGCGGCCCTGCACGGAGAGAGCAGCCCCCGGAGACGGTCGGCGCGCCCTGCCGCCCGGGGCTGCCGGGAATAGCCCGCCGAGGGCAAGGGAGGGGGCCGGGCCGGGGCACTTACCACTCTTGCCTCGTGCCTTGGTGACAATGAAGTCATAGAAGCTGTGGTGCTAGGCGCAGAGGGCAGGAAGGCGAGGGCTGACGACCCACCTGGGCTTCTCCCGACCGCCGGCCCCCCCGCCTGCCCACAGGCCCGACGCAGGCACGGCGACCCCCGGCGACCCCACCGGCCCAAGCCAGAGAGCCGGCGGGGACAAGGGCGCCCGGAGCCCACCGCCCCTCGCGCTGCCACCCCGCCCGGGGCTGCAAGGACGAGAAGGGGCTCACGTGGGGAATGATTAAGTCCTCCTTGATGTACATGAGCTGCTCCACCCCCGCCGACCTGACGGAGGAAAGGCAGGAAGGCGTGGACGAGCGGAAGCCCGCCCCGGGACCATCCTGCGCCTCCGGGCTAAAGAACAGAAGCAGGCGCCCCCACCCAAGGAGCGCAGTGCCCGGCGTGCCGCCCTGCCACCGGGGCCCCGTCACCCGGGGGGGGCGCCACGGGCACCGCCCGCCCCCTTAGGGTCTCCGGTCCCAGAGCCGGGGCGGCACGCTGCACACGCATGCGCGCGCCCTGACCTGAGCTCGCTGAAGTCTTTGCGCAGGATCTCCAGCGCCTTCTGCAGGAACTGCTGCATCGTGTTGCCCTTTTTCATCTGGGGGAGCGGCCCGAGCGCCGGGAAACAGAACGCGGCAGCGTGGAGGCCCCGGGCAGGGACCCTGCAGCCCCTGGCTCCCCCCGCCCCCCGAGGGGCCAGGCCCTCTGGCCTGCTCCCTCCAGGACCCCCGGGGGAGCGCTCCCAGGAAAGGACCTGCGAAGTTCTGAGGTCAGGCTGGAAAGCGCCTTCCCAAGGAGCTCCAAGGGGGGCCGGGCCGCAGTGGCCCGGGCAGCGGGGCGCGCTCCACGCCGCCTACCTTGACTGTCCGCCGGTGCCCAGAGCCATCCCAGTAACTGAAGGTGATTTCGATCTCCTCACCTACGAAGCACGATTGCCCCTGAAAACCGTGGGCAGCAGAGCCGGCTCCCCCTCGGCAAGCCACTCAGCGGCACTCACTCTTGATCTTCTCCTGCTTGGCTTCCCACTCCTGCCGCAGCTCTTCCCGGAGCCGGTTCTCCTCTTCCTGGGAGAGGAAATGGGTCAAGGACGGAGGCCCCGGGCTGCTCGGGGGGCGCGTGGCACCGCTCGCCTTGAGCCCAGGCCTCTGCCGGAGCCCGGGGCGGGCGGGCGGGCGGCTTTTACCTCCCGGTCCCGGTCAGGCAGGAAGCTGGTGTCCACATCGGGGTTCTTCCCCAATTTCCTCTTCTTTGTGGTGCCCTCTGGAGCAAAAGGCGACACAGGAGTCAGCTGCATCAGGGGCCCCACCTCCAGGGCACCCTGAACCTTTGTTTCTCAAGCCGGAGCTCCGACGCCACCTCCTTGGAGGCTTCCTGAAGCATCCCGGCACCACCATCCGCTCCCGGCCACAGCGGCCTGAAGTGCGCTCTTCACGGCGCTCTGGAGACCTAGCCTTTGCCAAGAGGCCTTGACCTCGGTCTCCGCCGCCAGCAGCTGGACACGGGATCGGGGACTGTGACCCAAAGTGCCTTGGGGGACTTAAGGCATCAGTGCCAGCCTCTGAGGGCGCCAGGGCTCCTCTGCACGGGGGGAGCAGGGCATCCCCAGAAGGCGGGACACTCGGGCAGGACCCCCTCCCTGCCAGGAGCTGTGCTCAGCCTGCTTGCAGATCTGACGTACCACCTAATCGTCACGACAGCGCCAGAGCAGTACAGCGCCCCTTGCTCCCGGGCGAGCAAACTGAAGCCCAAAGTCCCACCGGCGCCGACACTGGAGCCAGAGGGGAGGAGGGAAGGGAGAAGCCGGACGAGGGCTCAGGCCAGGCTCGCCGACATCATGGACTCGGACTTGGTTTCTGCAATTTGGATGTGAACGAACTAGCATGTTGGGTCTTCAGGACCCACGGACACTCTTACGAGTTACTGAGGACCCCAGAGAGCTCTTGTCTACGGGGGCGGTGGCTATCGATAGTCACCAAATTTGAGATTAAGCCGGAGAAACACCGAAGACTCAGAAACAACGAAGGCGCACACTCTGTTAGCTGTTGGAATGATGACATCATCACGCTGCAAGCTCAAGAGAGACTTCGATGCCAAAGGCCCAGAATGTTTTAGCACGGTTATGAAAGTGTTTTGGAGCTTGCAGACCCCCCGAAAGGGTCTTACCGACTCCTAAGAGCACTTTTTGAACACCGGGGACCTAGGAGACAAGCCTACACTCCAGCCTGCCGCTCCAGGGCCTGCCTGCACGTTAGAATCACCCAGAGAAAAATCCCACACTAGTGCCCCATGGCAGGGCCCCCAAAACGAAACCACAGCAGGGGGGAGGAAGCACTCACGAAGCCCCAGTGACCCACAAGGGCGTTAACAGCCGTCCCCCAGGGCCGTGCTGTCCAAAACAGACGCATTGCTCATGGGATGCTACTAAATACTACTAAACACTTCATATTGCTTATTAAGTACTGAAATTCACTTCGCCTGTTTCGCTGCGGCTCTGGGAACACACGAGACCCCCGGAGGCACAGGCTCTTCTCCTGACGCGTCAGCCGCTCCCCTGAGGCCACCAGACCGGGCCTGCGGCCGCAGCACGCACCACCAGCCCCTGCCTCAGTTCCCTGGCCACCACGCTTTCCAAACCAGCCCAGGCCCGCCGTCACGGCCCCCCAGGTCTTCACACGTGTCCCCTCCTGCCGGCTCGGCTTCTGGGCACACGCACCGCTTGACTCTACGTTTCTCCACCCGCCGCCCCCATCCCTCTGGTTGCTCATGAAATTCTCCTCATCCTAAAGGCCCATCTCAACTGTCCCCGCCACAGGATGTTTTCCCTGGCCCCGAGCTGGCCCCGGACCCTTCAGCAGGGCACACACCGACCGATGGGACGCAAAGGCCCTGCCTCTCGTCTGCCTCGCTGCTGGCACACGGGGGCCCCATGCTGGCTTCCCCCTTGCTACCCAGCCTTCCCGAATTGCCCCTGTCACCCCTTTGTCCCTCGGCCGAGAACTCTACTGTCCAGTTATGTTGCCCCTGAATGTCTGTGGCTGTATCGATTTACCCCGAAATGAATCAACAGAATTAACGATTCGGTGTCCCAGCCACACAAGCGACGTGCTCGGTGCCCACCTACAGCAGCACAGACACTCCTTCAGGATCGCCGCAAGCCCATCCTTCGTGGCACTTACAAAGGGCAGCTTCTGCAGGCTTCCTGACTGGGCAGCAGCCTCCCTCTGGCAGCCTCCTACACTGAAGACGCCAGGCCCCTGGCGAGAGGCCACACGCCTGCCTCTGACTCCCTCGGCCCCTGGGGGCAAGCCCCCCCCCCCCCCCCCCGGAGCTCAGCACGCGGTGCGGACTCGGCCCTCTCCGTCCTGCCCGATGAGATTCGGGACCCCGAATGGGGTGGGCCCGCAAGGCTGGGCGGTGGCCACGCGTCCCCGTGCTAGAGCCTGGTCCCTAGGACCGGCCTTTACCTTCCCTCTCCAGCTCCTCCTCGTATACAGCCGCGTCCTCCTCCTCATCCCCTGCCTCCTCCTCTTCCTCCAGGGTGAAGGACAGGCTGGAGATCTTCCGCTTGGCCTCCTTCTTGCGCTCCTTCTCTCGTAGCTTCTCCAGCTTCCTACCAAGGCACAGGCACCATCACGCCCCACGTCCCCACCCTGAGGCTCCTTCCCTGACCCACGGCTGCCCGTGTGCTCAGTGTGGGGCCCGCGTGGCACAGGCCCGGAGCAGTCCTCCCAGCCTGGGGCACTTCAAGCTCATGGGCAGGCCCCCTCTCGAGGGGCAAGAACAGCCTGGCCTGCCCCGAGCACTAGCTGTATCTCGAGGGGAGGACTGCCGGCCGAAATGACAGGAACCCACAGCTGCAGCTCCTTCGACTGCTCTTTCTTAGCCAACTGCTTCTCCCTCTCCTTCACCAGTGCCTCCTGCTTGGCCTTCATATCATTCAGGGTCACAAGACCTGTGAAGTGAGGAGAGATGGGAGCAGGGGTCGGTCACCCGGAGTCAGCAAAGCGGCAGGCCTCCGGTCCAGGAGAGGGGGGCATGCACGAGCTTCACTCACCGACGGTGCTGGACTTGAGCTCTGCCTCCACGGCGTCATAGTGTGCCGAGAACTTCTTGTCAATGTTAGACTTCATGATGTTCTCCTGTTGGGAAGGGAGAAGAGCAGTGAGGGCCACCCACCACCCCACTGTGGAAGTGGGGACCTGGGTTCTAGTCCCAGGTCTGCCTCTGGACTCACGATGATGTGACCTTGGGAAAAACGTGTCCTCTTTCCTTTGTCAAAGGAAGGTTCCATAGGTCTATGAGGGGCCCTCCCAGTGCTGAGGATGCGAAATGAGGTGGGGTTTTTTGCGACCTCCATGCTGTTCTGGCCCCTCCATGTCTCCTGCTGGGGACCAGAGCTCCCTCAGTGGCCCGGGGTCACAGGCTCTACCTGCCTTTGGTGTTTTTCATACCTAGCCTTTAAGCTGAAGGTGGAGACCCAAGCCAAGGGGTGACAGGAGAGAGTGAAGAGTGGTCAAGGGGCCTAGTCCCCCACTGAGCAGTGTTGCTCCCTCTTGGCCCTAGATGTTGCCAACAGCTTCCCATGAGACCTCACTCCAGCCCAGCCCCATCCCACTTGGTACCACACAGGTCCCTCTCTGGCTGGTGGCCTCCAAAGGAGGGGGCCAGCAGAGAAATGCAACTCCAGCGGGCCAAACAGTTCACACTGAGACAGCAGGGCTGGGGCACCAGCGGGAAGTAAGGTCGAGCCAGGCCTTGGCATGCGGCTGCTTCCTGGGGCCTGGCTTCCACAGTACCTAAGGTAGCCTGCTCTTCGGACAAGTCTCCCCAAAGGCCCCAGCAGAGGAATCCTTCCTTCCTGACAGCCCACCACCACTGGCCACTGACTAAAGCCCTTAGTGAACCGCTCGCACCCCAGACACTGAACTCTGCCTTTGTCCCAGTGCAAAGGGCTCTGGAAGGAGGCTCAGTGGCCAGTGGATTGGCCAGGGCCCGTGGGGCCTGACTTTCCTGGCATCCAGAGGCCTCGTTCTCAGGGCTGAGGGGCCAGGTACACGAGGGGAGCCCAAATTCCACCAATGGGACCACTGACTATGGCTCCGCCCAGTTGGAGGCTTGTCACAAGCTTAGCTCGTCTCAGCCTTCTGGGCACATTTTACAGATGAGCAGACTGTCGCCGGACCGCTTCTGCCCTTTGCTGGAGGTGAGCGAGCAAGGGTCCCGCCCCGCCTCGCCACCGGGGCTCTGCGTCCGCCCGCCCCCCCCACCCCGAGTTTCGCGGGGCCCCAGAGGGCCGGGGCGGCGGGCGGCGCGCGTGCTCCGAGACGCCCCGGCCTGGCCCGCACCTCCGCGATCCGCTGCTTCATCTGCTCCATCTGCTCGCGCTGCTTCTCCCTCTTCTTCATCAGGTGCATGGCGCGGCCCGCTTCGCTCGCGGCGCCCTTGTACTGAGCCATGGCGGTGGCGGCGGCGACGGCGACGGCGACGGCAGCGGCAGCGGCAGCGGCAGTGGCAGCGGCGACAACGGCCTGGTGGAGTCTTAGCGGCTGCAGACGGCAGCAGCCGTGCAGTCAGCTGACGCCCGCGCGGTGACGTCGGGCACCAGGGGCCGCGCGGTCGCCCCGCCCCTCCGCCCGGCCCCGCCCCTCCGCCCGGCCCCGCCCCTCCGCCCGGCCCCGCCCCTCCGCCCGGCCCCGCCCCTCCGCCCGGCCCCGCCCCGCTGGCGTCCGGAGGCTGGACCCGTCCCTGGCTTCCTTGGTTCCCCATCAATTCCTCGACATTAACTCCTGGTCCAAGACTGGGTCCCCAGTCCCCCTTCATCCTGCTGACCCCAAGCCTGGGCCCCCAGGACCCTCCACTTCCTTAATGTTGAGCCCAGCCCAAGGCCAGATCCACACCCCACTCCAGTGCCCTTGCGGCCTCCCTGCCTGAGGCCACCCTGGCTCCGACTCCTTTCTTTCACTCCCCCACCCAAGACTGGGCCCCAGTCTCCTGTTTCCCCAGACCATGAAGCTGGGCCTGGGTGCCCTCTGCCTCCTCCCTGACCTGGACACAAGGACCCTGCCCTCTCCACTTCCACCCCTGCCCTAGGCCAGACCCCCTTCTCCCTATTTCCGCCACACTGACCCCCAGGGGTTGCAGTCCCGGTGCCAGCACTAATTTGCCGGGTGGCCTTGGGCAAGTCAACGTGACCTATTTCCTCCATGCAGGTCCTTTTGGCTCAGGAGCTAATTCCCTGATGAAGGTGATTACCTTTCACACCCATCCCCAGCAAAGCTAACCCACAGACTGGAACCGATACAACGAACAGCCCAGGGAGCCCAGGCCCCGCCCAATGCCCAGTTTTTTGGGAAGCAAAACAAAAGATCTGGGCCCAGGTTTCAACACAGTTTTATTGGGAGGTTTTCTGTGAAATACACTAGAGGTTGGGGAAGGGGACACATTCACTTTGCAAGGTAAGGGTTTCCCACCACTAAGGGAAAGGTTGTGGGGTGGGGCAGGGCATACTGGGGTTTGGATCCATTTTCCCACCTCCTTCTGCTTTGCTCACATTTTTTTTTTCTCTCTCAGCAAATGCCAGAGAACACAAACACAAGAACAAGAAACAAAAACAGCAAGATCAACCTCCAACTGGGCCGCACCCAAGCCCTCTCCCCTCCCAGGCCGCACCAGAAGGCTGCGGGTGAGAGGCACAGTGCTCCCTTCTCAGATCGGGTGGGCCAAAGTTAATAAATTAGAATAAATTAACGAGGGGGGGGGGGAGGAATGCAACTTTGTGCTGGGAGGGCCCCTTCTCTCCAACACACAAGAGAGTTGGTGGGGGGAGGCAGGGGGCATCTCCAAAGGCCACTACAGTGGGGGTAAGAGCAGTGGGGACAGAAGTCAGCTTTTCCTCCACGTTCTTCCCAAACAGAGCAGAAGAATTAGGAGTGGAGGGGGAGAGACACACACAAGGAAATGAACCCTCTTTTCCCAGAATAAGGAAGGGCCAAGAAAGAGGATGCTATCCAACCCCCCATCTCCCAGACCATCGCTAAGGTTAAGGATTTGGTCAGTGAATCAATGAGGTGGGTGACAGGAATGTAGAATGTGGTGGGGGAAGCAGAGAATGCTGGAAACCGGGGTGCCCAGCCACACCCATCTCCCCAGCCCTCAAGGAGAACAGACTTAGGTCAGGGGAGAGGGCACCAAGGGCTGGGGTGTGTGCGGGGAGGGGGGTTGTCAATCACTGGTCAGCTTCTCCAAAGACGTCATTCTGTTTGCGCTTCATGTTCTCAAAATCAAAAGCGGAGCCTGCCATGCGCTTGTAGATGTCTTTGATGTCATTGCAGGTTGTCTCGAAGTGTGTGGTGGCATCATAGGAGCAGGAACAGAACACCTGGAAATATCCAGAGCCCAGGGCCAGGGTGAGTCGGGCAGGGGCCCTGGCAGGGCAGCTAGGAGCCGGGGCCGAGATGGCCTGCTTACCTGGCTCTCGGAACCATCGTCAATGGGCTCATATAAGTCACTGATGGCCACAAACCTGAGGAGCAGAGAGAAGGGAAGGGAAAGACCTCACAACGAGCCTTACTCTCCCTGGTCTCTGCTTCCCCGCCCCCCCAGCTCCTTGGCTCCCTTCCTTCCCCCCAGTGAGGCCCCAGCCCTTCAGCCCCTCACTTCTGGTCAATGGGCTCCAGCAGCTCCAGGGCAGGTTCAACTTCCTTTTCCGGCTCTGTAGTCTCCACCGTGGTGCTGGCGATGGCGATGTACTTGCCCTGTGCAGCCACGTTGTGTGCGTAGGAGATCATGCACACGTAGATGTCTGCCCACAAGAAGGGGCTCCGTTAGCATGGGCACAGAGGGCCCCTGGAGGCTCGGCCCAATTCAGGCCTGCCTACCCACTCCTCCCCAGCCCTGCACAGCAAGCAGCATCCAAACCCACTCTCACAGAGGAGGAGAGTCCAAGCTACCCAATCGCTAGGGCCTCAAGCCATGGGGATTGCTATGTAGGTCCCCATTCTTCCATGCAGGAATCAGGCAGACAGCCCCAAGAATGATGGGGAGAGGCAGAGCCACCCCAAAGAGAACACACTGGAGGCAGTCACCTGGGACTCAACCTACCTGACTTCCTGTTAACTTGGTTCTGGGGGATGATGATTTGGCAGGAGTTGGCATCATTGGTGTTCTTGATGGGGTGGCTGAGGATACAGATGATGCGGATAACCTGGCCGGCCTTCCGCACTCGGTCCGGAATGTAGCTGGGGTCACAGATCAGCTGCTTGCAGCGGGCCACCTGTGAAAACACCAGAAGACCTACCCAAACACTCCCCTAGGTGGTTGTGGGGCTGAGTCCACGCTGAGGGCTGGCACTGCACTCCTCTGAGCTGTTACCCCGGCCCCTCCTGAGTATATAGCTTCATCCTGTCCCTCAGGGAGGTGGGCCCCCATATGCAAGGCTGGGAAAACCCTTCTGCTTGAGACACTGTGCTCAAGAACACTCCCCGGACCTCTGACACAGCACGTGGGTCTGAGATACCTCTCACCAATGGAAACGGCTATGTGGACTTCTGGAGCTCTGGTCCCCAGCCCAAGGCTCTTAGACCTGATTAGCAGCGGACCCAGCAGAGCCAGAGTCACTGGGAAGAGGGCCTCTAAGAAGGCCAAGCCCCACCCAGACCATCATGCTTGCACTGTGGTGAAGGCTTACCTCTCCCTCAGACTTCACACCCACCACCTTGCCATTCTCCATGATGATGTCATCCACAGGTTTGTTCAGCATGTATGTCCCTCCATAGATGGCACTCAATCTGCGGTGGGGAGAACGATGGTGGAGTCCCCTTCCCAGGAGGAAAACAGGGACAGGGTGCCCTCCCCCTACCAGCACTGGGGTACAGAGAAGGCTGCCCTAGGCAGGCAGAGCTCAGGAGACCTGGTGGTTCTTCCCAGCTCCGTCACTGCCACAGACGCAGGACTGAATCTGGAGTGCTCCTTCCTCTCTGGAGCTTCAGCCTAGAATATTCTGCAAAGGGCTAGTACGAGGGTGGCATGAAGGTACAGCTAGCTCCTCACGGGAACGGTCTGGGGAACAGAACAAAGGGCTCTGGAGAAGCCCTCTGACTCAAGGTTCAAAGGCCCAGGCCCAGCCCTGGTGCTGCCTGACTCGGGCTGGGAGCCAAGCAAGCCCGGTTGGTGAAGGCCTGGTTCTTCAACCTGCGCTTCAGCTGCCTACTGCAGCACAGCGCCCCCCACCCTGTCACGCAAGCACGGTATGAAGTAAATTAGACCACAATGGGAAAGTTTGAATGCTCCAGAAATGCTCAAGGGTGCCATTTCCATTCTTGGCTTTAGTCTTATTTAGTATTGTCAACAGAAAAAAACCACGTCCTCACCTTGCAAAGCCCTGGGGCAGCTCACCAAGGCCGTAAAGTGGGTATAAATAAGGACTCTTTCCATACCGAGCCAGGGACTCACTGTACAATTTGATGCGGTTGATGGTCTCAAGACAGGGCTGGTCCAGGTAGCTGGGGGGACGGGGTCAAAAGAAGAGGCTCCAGCAGCAGCACCCCCAGCTCACCCCCACCCAAACACCAGGCCAGCCTTCCCACCACCCTCTATGGCCTGGGAAAGACTATGGGTCAAATAAATGCACAGAAAAAAACAAAAAAGACAGTGGATAAGCGTGTAGCTGAGTGCAAGAAATGTGCAGGGTGGGTCAAGGGAGCAGCACGCAGGAACGGGGAGGGCAGGGTGCAGGCCAGACGAGGGGCAGTCTGCCATGCCAGCTTCCTCTCACTCATCAGTGCGGTAGAGGGCCAGGGCATGGCCAGTGAAGTCGATGACATCCTGGCCCAAGTCAAACTTCCGGTAGACGTCACGCATGCTGGTGCTCTGGGGGTCAACACCCTCGAAGGTCTTGGGGTCATTTTCATCAAAGTTTGCCACAAACACCAGGAACTTGCGGAAACGCCGTTTCTCAAACATGCCCATCAGATCTGTAGAGGCAATGTGAGAAGAACCTTCACACCACAGAACATGAACCTCTCCTTCCCACCAGGCAGACCAAGAAAGCAGACACCCAACTCCCAGCTGAGTTTTGTTGCTGAGCACCGTGTAACCTTAAATTAACCCCTCTGCCCTTCTTGGCCTCAATTTCCCCATCTGTACAAAGAGGGGATTGGACTGGATAAGCTCTGAGGATCCTCCCAGCTCCAACACCTGGGGACGTTTCACCGGTCAAGTGCAACCCCTGTCAAAAGGCTGAAGTCTTTTAAGAAAGAGCAACCACCCATGCATCCTCTTTGCGTGTGGACTTCCCTCCTGGCATCCACTGTGAGGCTCAGGGCAGTCGAGGGAGGACAGACCAAGGGGGCTTATGGTACATGGGGAATGTGACCTCGGGCAAGGGGCACCCTGCTCTGCCCCTCGCCATGATTCTCTGGCTCAGTGGACATGTACTCACTGGAAGCCAAGGCTTCAGTCTCGGTGGATGGCACTTTATAGATCTTTCCCCCCTTGTAGACAAAGCTGCCCTCCACCACCTTGAAGTCCAGGTAGCGCGTCACCTCTGTATACAGCAGCATCTTTACCAGCTGCCCTGTG